ACTTGGAATTCAGAGATTGCAAGTTTTGTAATCTTCCAAGATATCAACGGCGGGCTCAAGCCAATACTGGAACTGTTTCAATAAATCAACAACACCAAACTTACCATAGAAAATACAACAAGCCAAACAGTGAGTATCTCAGAAAAACTAAACAACCAAAATTATACCAAATGGTCCAGACTGATGTATTTGGCAATTAGTGGGAGAGGTAGGCTCAGACACATTACAGCCCCTCCACCACTAATCACTGATCCAGAATATCCCAAATGGGCACAGTCAGATTCCAATGTAATCACATCGATCATAGAGAATATAGAATCTGACTTGGTGAACCAGTATCTTGATTACCCAACCGCAAGAGATCTGTGGAAGGGAATAGAGGCAATGTATAGTAGTGGTCAGGATGGTCTACAGATCTTCGATCTGACTGTGAAAGCCAATAGATCCAATCGAGAATTTTTACAGCAAGCTCCTGGCTTGGAAAAGAGCTATGGGTGGTCAAAGTGGCTTGGAATCGAGAAGGAGAAGGATGAGAAGGTTGATTCCATGTCAAGAATAGCACCAAAGGGATATGATCCCAATGAAGATGTGAAGGATGAATAACTGTGGCATTAGGGAATCTAGTCCGCCAAAGAATCGAGCACAGTGCTCTATCAAGACAAGCACTCTTAGAAATAGAAACAGAGTTACCACGTGTCCATTTGAACAGAACACAAGAAAAGCCCAAATCGAGCAAAGCCTACCCAAAAATCTAGTCACACAAGTCACGACAGCTAGCCTGCAAGTTAGACGAATACCCATATTGCTCCTGACCAGAAGTAATTGCATTGAAATCACCAAGAAGAAGCCATTCCTCAAAATTATCAATCTGACTCAAGATTAAATCCTGCTAAAGAAATTTTTTAAGAGCCATAGTGATACGGATCAAGGAAGCAAGGTGAAGGATCCTCTAGCGCTACCTGCCGGGCCAATCATGAGAGCTCGTGCAACCAAGTTACAAGCAGCCTTGAATGCATTTGTTCAAGAACAAATCACATTGGAGCTTCAAGATCATAGCTATGCAAGATGTGAGCAAGATGTGAGATTGAACTTGAAGAAGCACCAAAGTTTATTATGGTGTTTGAAGCGTGTAAAGAGGCTGCCCATTGATGCATTATACATGTTTTATACTTAAGCAAATTTAGAAGGATGCTCTTTCATTGTAAGCTTAAGTATGGAGCATGTAGGGCCTGTGGCCCATTTATCCTATTTTGTTTAAGTTATTTAGAGTGGATTTAATAAGGCTTGTTGGGCTTATATTCCAAAGTTGGGGCAGCCCAAGATTAGCTAAATATTTAAGTTGGGCTTGTTTTAATTAATTAGCTTGGGCTTTATATTTAATTGAGCCCATATGGTCCATAATGGTTAGAATATTTTTAGCCTTGATTTAATGCATGATTGTAGGCTTGACTTTAGCCTTGATTGTAGCCTTGATTTAAGGCATGATTCTAGGCTTGATTTGAGCCTTGATTTAAGGCATGATTATAGGCTTCACTTTAACCTTGATTTTAGCCTTGATTGTAGGCTTGATTTTAGGCTTGATTCTAGTTCCTTGTCTTCCATTTACTAGTATAAATAGGTGCTTCCATTGTAAACAAGAGACACACAACAACAATAATATATATGAGTTTTCTTCTTTGAATGAAAGCAACCATTTTCCATTCATTAGTAATTGAGCTTGTGAGTTCTACAAGATTAATTGCATCAAGAATCCCAGATTTGTTTTCAAGAGTACTTGAAGGTAAGTTTCTGTTTTCTTGTTCTAACTTCCTTTCTTTCTCTTTTCAAGAGTACTTGGGGATTTAGGGATTGACGGGTACTTCCGTGATTGCATGTTCTTTGCTAGATTCTCCTTGTTAATTGCAAGAGTACTTGTTTAACGAGAGACTGCCATAAACAAAAACTATATTCCATGGCGTACTAGGCCCAGGTGCAACTCTACAAACCATGAATTGAGCATGAGTATGAATGACAACAGTTGTAAAACCCCTATCAGACCAAAGAAGCCAAAGACCTCCACTGAAACCAAACGCTTCAACCCGTATCGAAAAATCAAAACCGAGAGAAGAGTTTTGAAAAAGTTTTATTCTTAATAATAATTTTTTTATTTTCTTTTTCGTTACTGAATAATTTGTAACTACTATCATTTTAATTGAATAATTTGTAACTACTATCATTTTAATTTTGTAAGAGATTTATATGTCCCTTGCAATAAATAAATGGCTATTGATGATTAGACTATTTTAATTTTCTTCATATTTTTTTCTTTTATATCTTAAATCTGTTTAACTTAAAAGAAAATAGTATTTAGGAAATTTTTAAAAAAATAGAACTATATATTTCTATTTGGATTACTTTTTGGAGTTTCAAGAATTTATATGTATATGCATATACTCCTTTATTTGATGTATTCGATAAGTAATACTGTCATCGTAGCAAAAATGATTTCTATTATTAATTAGATCACATTCTCCTTTCTTTTCTTTTACCTAGCAGTAAAAGAAATTTATTACTCCCTCCGCCTAAAAAAGATAATCCATCTTTTGAATAAACTATGTTTTCTTATCGATTTTATTACAAATTTAAGATTTAAAATCGTCTTTAATAAAATAATTTTATTTGAATATTATCTTGGCTTTAATATGAAAATGAAAAGAAAGAAAGAAAGTGAATGAACGTAAACTTTTATTTTTTTTGGTTATCACGATTATTTCAATATCTTTTTGAGTATAAAATGATTCTTATTTTGAAGTTTATAATTACCACTCTATATAAGCGATTTTCCTCAACTGAATGAACCTTTTAACCTATAAAAAATGTCTGCTGAACTTTTTTAATAAATGTACATTATAATTTTTAACGTATTTCACTTTTAATATCTTTTAAATTCACTTCCTTCCATCTGTTTTTAATAATGTATTTTTAAATATTAATAAAAATAATATACTTTTTTTCTTCTCTCTCTCCTCAATAAAATACTGTGTATATTTTATTTGAAAATTTATTTTTATTTAAAAAATATGTCCAATCAAATCATACAAATATAAAAAAATTAATAAAAAAATACATATTTTTTATTTCTCATTGAAATAAATATTTTAAATTATAATGAAAATATAATCAAATATTTTAAAAAATAAAATATAAAAATTTTCAAATTTCTCAGTATAAAAAAATATAATAAAATATTTAGTAAATTCAAAATTTCATTAAGAGCAATATCGAAAATCTCATTATTTTTCTCTCCTATTTTCACATCTATATATAATATAAATAGAATTTGTTGTTGTACTTTTTTATATGATTCCATCATTCAACTATTGCAATATATTTTCAAATATTACAAATTCTCGCGTCTATCAGTTGTTTTCAACTTATGTCACTTTTAACAGAAAAACATTAAAATCATTAAAATTCAAAAAAGAAAGGAAAAGAAAAAAAAAAGAAATTTATAATTTCTTCAGTTCGGTAAGTTAATACTCCACTAATAAAGAATTTGAATTTAATGTTGGCGCTATTTTCTGCTCTCTAATTCTCAAGCTCATATCAGACCTCCACAAAAGCCCGTTGCTTATCTTCTCTCTTCCGCTAGACGTCAACGGGGCACATTAAATCAGACCAAATCCCTTCTCGCCATTATCAAATTTCTCCCAAAAACTCTATACAAGATTGGGTCTTTCGCTTTATTTTCATAATATTATCCAAGATGCTCTCAACTACCAGCAGATGCCTTACTAATTTTCGGCTTCATCGGCTAATGGGTATTTTTGATTCCGTCCCGTTTTTCTTTATAGTACTTCTACCAATACACAAGCGGGAGGTAAAAAGCAAATTCTATTCATCGATAACATTGATGATGCTTTGGCTTTTTCAGCGATGCTTTCAATAGTAATCCTCAAGCCTGTTATGGAATTTAAATCAATTATATCTGCAACCTTGTTCGATTGAACTTATGCGACTGTCATTTTCTTTAAGAACAGATGGAATTGTCTGGAATTTTCTCTCCATCTATCATTCTATATAATATTTTGAAACTAATTGCTTTTGCCAATCTGGACCGCGTGGATTTTGGGTTCTCTCTTTTTGGGAATTTCAAACTTGGTTTTCAGCCTACCATTATAACCGCTTAATACCTTGAATTAACGGGCTTTGTAGTGAGGAATGCATTTGATGAAGCCTGTGGAATTATTTGATGAGATGTTTGCAAAAGGCTATAACCTGATTGTCTATAACTATACACGTGATTGTGAATGGGTTGTGTAAATTGCGAAAACAATGTGGCCCTTTGGTAATTCTGAAAAGAATGGGTCGAGGAAGATATGTGAGCCCTGTGTGGTGTCATATAATTGCTATCATTGCAGCCTTTGTAGGATAGATTTGGTTCTACTAGAGGCACTTAGAGCTCTTCTTGAAAATCAAGAGTGGAAGCCATTTCTTAACTTGCATTGTTTGAATTAGCAGCTCTTTAATCAACTGGTCTGTGTATGGTGCAAGCCGATTGAAGGAAGCTTTTTGCTAACTTAAAAAATGTTGAAAGCCACATCAGGGCAGATCTAATTAGCATTCAATATATTGTTGAATGGCTTTGTAAGTGTGGAAGGGTTTCAAAGGCTTGTGGTTTCGTCCAAATTGATGATTAAAAGAGGAATAAAAGCTGATGTTGATGACTTACAGCTCTTTAATTATGGTCTGTGCAATTCAGGCCTGATGGGAAAGAAGCCTTCTGTGCAGCCTCAATGAAAATGTTAGGAAGCGAACTCCAACCAGATTTAATTCCTTCAACATATTGGTTGATGGACTTTTAGTAAGGAAGGAAGGGTTTGCAAAGGCTCATGGTCATAAGTCAACATGGATGATTCGAAGAGGAATGAGCTGATGTTGTTGATATATAGCTCTTTAATATATGGTCTGTGCAATTCAGGCAGATGGCGAAAAGCTTTCTTATAGCAGCTCGATGAAAAATGTTGGAATGCGAACATCGCACCAAATTTAATTACTTGAATAAACTTGGTCGATGGGCTTTTGTTGCAAAGGCTCATGGTATAGTCAAATGCACGATTCAAAGAGGAATAAAGCCTAATGTTGTGACTTACAACTCTTTGATGAATGGATATTGTCTACTCAACAAAATGGATCAAGCTAGGAAAATTTTTGACATGATGCTAAGCAAGGGTTGTACACCTGATGTTGTTACCTACAATATCATGATTGACTGTTACTGTAGGAGAAAAAGGATAGATGAGGCAATGAGGCTTCTTGATGAAATGCCTCACAAAGGATTGATTCTTAACCATGTCACTTATAATTCTCTTATACATGGCTTGTGTAAAGCAAAGAGCCCTCAAGCTGCATATAAGTTTTTGAAGGACCTGTGTGCTAGTGGCCATTCTCCAGATGCGGTAACCTACAATATTTTGATAGATGGCTTCTGTAAGCATCAGTGTCTAGATGTGGCGTTGTCCCTATTTCATGAAATGCAGAAAAACTCATTGAAGCCTGATATTATTGTCTATAATATCCTAATTGTGATAATTATCCTAATTGATGGTTTCATGAAATGCAGAAAAACTCATTGAAGCCTGATATTATTGTCTATAATATCCTAATTGATGGTATGTTCAAAGCTGGAAAAGTTAAAGATGCGAAGGAACTGGTTTCTAGACTTTCCATAGAAGGGTTGCGGCCTGATGTTTACACATACAATACAATGATCAATGGACTTTGTAAAGAAGGATTACTAGATGAAGCATTCAAGCTGTTCAGAAGAATGGAAGGGGATGGTTGCTTACCAGATAGTTGCTCTTATAACGTGATTATCCAAGGATATCTCCGGCACAACGATTCATCCATAGCAACACAATTTATTGATGAAATGGTTGGCAAGGGTTTTTCTGCAGATGCCACCACCACAGAGTTGGTAATAAATTTAGTTATGAACAAGCCTGATGACCCGCTTGTACAAAAGCTGCTAATTACTCTCAAATGTTCCTCAGATGTTAACTCTGAAGTGAAGATTTCAGAAGTAGAACAATTTGTTGTATACTGTCGCAAGAGTTCTGGTTTTCTGCAAATTTTCAATTTGTATATATTATTATTTTATTACATTTGCCTCATTGATATGCATATAATACAATTCTACTTCCACTGTATTAATATTTACTCTTCTGTTTTTGTAACCAAATAGTATTTTAATCTATGTTTTTCGTTGATTATTCTTCATCACCACAGAAGATATATTTTCGACACACATATTCCATTAAAATGGGAACAGTTTAGTTCCTTGAGATTGTTAAAATGGGACATTTTAGTTTCCTTGAGATTGTTTCCTTTCTGTCTCTATCCATTTTCGCTTCTTTCCTTCCAGTTGTTATCTCACTAAGCATCAAGGAGTTTTCCTTTGAGCACAGTGAAAAGTTTATCTAAAGGAACATATACAGAGAAAACTCATAGAACGATTAAGCAGATAACATTGTACATATCTAAGCAGTTAATGCTAATGCTAAATCAAGCAACTTTGAGACTCTGTGAACTTGAAGCTTATAATCTCTGGTAATTCAGCTTCTCTGACTGCAACCAATTAAAAGTAATTAATTGGAAAAAATGTTTTAGACAATATAACAAAGGATAAGGCTTTTAACAGCAATACCTTGATAAGCATATCTGTTGGAAGCCAAGCTGGTGCAGTTGGAATCCCAACCCAAGCGACCTGTCAAAACCATATCTAACTATTCAACTCTGAAACCAGAATATGAGTTTCGAACACATAAAATAACTTAAAAGTGCATGCTCTCCAGAATATGAACACACAAAATAACTTACAAGTGCATGCTCTCCACTCTCAGATATTCGTAAATCCAACACCTAAAAAATGAAAATATTGTCAAGAAATGCTAATTATTTACTACGGAACAGGAAAAAGAAAATAGGAAAGCTATCTCTTTAACACGCTTGTGTCTTGATTTCTCATGACCGTGGACACTCTCCATTAGAAAGCAAATGTTCTAAAAGAACAGGTGAATAGCAAACTGATAGTAATCTAACAAACCATCAAGAAAATAATAAAGTTTCTCTTTTTTTAACAACAGTGACTCCCTCATCTAATAATTTGATGGAAGAATATTGTTTTATGGAGGCAAAGGTTTAAAGTTTCTCTTTTTTTAACAACAGTGACTCCCTCATCTAATAATTTGATGGAAGAATATTGTTTTATGGAGGCAAAGGTTAAGGACAAAATAAATTATTTAATCAAACTATAGGGACAAAGTAATTAATTTTTTTTTTTAAATCTCGGAGACTAATATGTAATTTTCCTTCTTATTAAGCCATTTTAACTCTTATTTCATATAAATAAAATTAAAATGTAGAATTCAGTTAAAATGAATTTTTCTATTCAATATGATAATTTTGAAATATGAGAATTCAGTTGAATATCATAATATTTTTGAAATTATTTATACCGAAACAAAATTTGGTAAGTTGCAATGAGCTAGTATAAGTCAAATTGCTTTGATACAACTGAGTTTCAACAATCACTTACTTATAAATCTACTAGTGTTTTTTATTACGTGCCTTTGCAAGTTGATATTATTCGGTATTATTCATTGTTTATATTTAATAATTTATTCTTATATACTATTAAATATAATTATAATTTTTCTCTTATATTCTCTCGATAATTTATATAATATTAAGACATGATTTTATGTATAACAATTTTAAATTAAAATTTATCTCTATTAAAATCAATTATACTAAATAATTGTTCTCCTTATATTTGTCAATTTAAGAGACTTAAGGTCTCTTCGGCAATACTAGTGGTTCTAGTAACTTTTAGATATTTTAATATTTGTTCGCTATTTTACCAGCTGTTAGCTGGTAGATATTAGCGGGTAGCTTAGCTGTTTAAATAGTGGTTGTAAGTGAAAGTTTTCAATAAAAACAGACATTGAAATATTCATCTAGAATTTTCAATTATATTCATTATAAAAAAAATAATTTCACTGTACCTAAATTTTCAAAATCTAAGGGAGGAAAAATTGAAAGTTCACTATTTTATAAATAAAATGGGAAATTGTTTATATTTTAGGGGATCAACATTTGTTATTTTTAATATTTGTTTGAGTATAAATACAAATATATAAATAACGTTTTTTTTTACCATCAAATATAAATAGGCCAAACATAAAAAAAAATTTAGTAAAAGAGTGAAATGCAAAACATTAGGTTACATAACGTTTTAGAAAACACTCCATAAATTTCTAAAAGCTACTTTGTATATCAAGTTAGCAAATTCAATAATTTAGAGAAATACTGTTTTGACTAGTTTAAGGCACTAAACGCTACTCTAAAAGCTACTCCTAAACACGCCTTTACATTTGACTGTCATTTAAAATAAATTATTTTCTATTATATATTACTAGTGTTAAAACCTGCACGATCCGCGGAAAAATATTAAATGATGAAATAATCTTTAATAGATCATTTAAAAATAACAAAATTGTATATTAAAATGATCATGAAATGCATACAAAATTGTATCTTATTAAGATATGCTGAAAAATTTACAATGCTAAGATTTGTCTTCTTAAGTATCAGGTGAAACCTTTCACCTAGGCATGCAAAAGTAAAAGTCATACATGGTATGACCTGCATAAAAATGCAAATACACTAGCGATAATAATTTTGAGAATTTAATAAACTATATTGAAATAAGAAATTATGTATTTTTTATTTTATGTTTATGATTTATCATAAATGATTATTTATTTATTTGAAATATTAATATATTATACTTTTATGATTTATCATAAATGATTATTTATTTATTTGAAATATTAATATATTATACTTATTTAGTGTAATGTGTCTTATGTGTATGGAAGTTCTACTTTTTAACATTATTGTATCACGTACTTTCAATGTATCTTGTGTCCCGTGTTCGTACAATCTATCTTCTGACATATGAGACTACTCCGTACAACAAACTAATCAACCAAGATTTTTTTCTATTATCAATAAAAAATAAAGTGTTTTTAATTTATTTTTTGTCTTTTTTTATTAATGAATGATCAAAAATACTTTTCTTACAATTAAAAAACATATTTTGGTAGTCTTGGTAAATTATTCGTCTTTGTCACACTTTAAAATTATTTTCTATCAAAGAGAGATTTTTTAATAAAAACTATGATGAATACATTGAAATGGGAGGAAGTTAGCTCTAGGTTGTATATTGATCAGTTCAGTTACCAATAACTCAATTTTAAAAAAATCAGTCCAACAACATAATTTAGAATTCTAAAAGTCGAGGAAAAAAATATTTTCTATTATGAACTAAAATAAAATTAATTCTAAATCGAATCAAATTAAATGGAATAAGCAATATGATTTTTGATTTTTTTTAAATATTATCCACCCTACCCCAACGGTAAAGTGACCCAATTTTTAAATATATATGTATATAGCTAATGTGTAAGACATGATTTTTTAATATCCAATGGAATGAAAAGACATGCTGATATATTTAGCTAATGTTTAAGACATGATTTTTTGTGTAACAACTTTAAATTAAAATTTATTTCTATTTAAATAATATTCATATTATAAGCGAATAATATTTTTCTTAAATTAATTTTAATATGATAGTAAAATTTATTTCTATTTAAATAATATTCATATTATAAGCGAATAATATTTTTCTTAAATTAATTTTAATATGATAGGGCAAAATTAAAAGCCAAGTATATTTACTAAAATAACTGTAGATGACAAAATGAAAAATTATTATTAATTATAGTATTAGGCTTTATTTTTTTGAAAATGATAAGGTTATACTTAATTAGCGTTGATTTTTTTTTTTTAAAAAAAAAGCATAAAAGCATTTGCATCGAAACAATCAACTATTGATGAATTGGATTTTAGCATTCCATTCATTTTTACACAATTAAAAGAGGAATAACATAATAATAAACACACATACACTTATATTAAGTAATTGTAATATATTATTATTTATTTATATTATTTATTGTATAATTTCAAAATACATAAATGTAAATACATTTTTTGGATAAGTTAAAAATAATAAATAAGATAGAATAGATTATAAGTTAAAATAAATAAATAAGATAGAATAGATTAGATGAACTAATAAATATTTACTAAAATTTATTAGATGAAATTTTAAAACATTTATTAAATGAACTAATAAATCCTAAGTTAAAAAAAAAAAACTAATAAACCCTAAAACATTTATTAGATTTCATTTTTAGAGCCCTATAGCATCTGTATTGTTATTCAAAACTTTAAAAGTTGATATATATTATATTATAGTGTATTATATTATAATGTTTTTTTTGTAGATATTTCATATTTTTTTCATTTAAAAATTTATTTTAAAATTAAAAATAATAGTATATTTTTGAAACAATTAATATCATAAATAATCTTTAATCAAAATAATATAATAATATACTTTTTTAATCGATTAATAAAAAATAAAAAAACTCAAATTTATCAATTATTAAAAATTCAAACTATTATCAATTATCCAATAACTAAGAATATTTTAGAATTTCTAAACTTTTATTAAGGTTATTATAAGTAATCTCATTTTTCTTCATATTCTCATATTTATTTATAATATAGATTTGTGCAGGCCCAATGCATAATTTGATCCATGTACTTTACGTAAAAAATCGTGTGGTGCCTCTAACTTTGACTTTAACCTATTGAACACTTCAATTTAAAAAATTATATCAATTAAATACTTTAATTTGCAAAAATCATTCTATTGAATACTCAAACACTTATTGGATAGTTGAAAAATATGAAAATTATTATTCCAAAGATTATACTAACTACATATTAAGTGAATATCTTGCACATAAATACTAAAAACACAAAAAAAATATCGTTATCAGTATAGATAGGGATACAATATTAGCAAAATTTGTAACTTTAGGGACAAAATAGGTCACTCGCAAAATTCAGGATGCCACAAGTTTTTTTCGTAAAGTATAGAGGTATATTTATGCATTTGACTGATTTGTGTATGACTCAATGAGCTTTAATATGACTGGAATATGTGAGCTAATCTATGTGCAGCTCGATCTCGGATCGTGTTAAAGTCAAAAAGAAAGTTTTAACAATTATATTAGTTGAATTTCTATAATCTTACGTAGGCTGGAAATGATATGAAAAAAGTAAAGTATAAAAGAATTGGATAAAATGGTAAAAAGTATTAAAATTGAGGATTGTTTTTGTTATTTCATCTACTCTTTAAAGATCTCATCGTTCAATTGAAATGAGAATCAATCTACTACGAGAATGTTTTAGTTTTATTGCATTCTTTTGATACAAATATTTCAAAGACCACTAAATTATATTTTATATAAAAAAATTATTTAAATCACATTCTAATTGTTTGGTTGAAAAAAATAGCCATAATTCATATATCAATTGTATTGTTTTTTTATTAATCCTGAAATTTAAATCATTTATTTTTATTTTAAAAAAATCCTTCCAATACA